AGGATTAAGCGAAGCAATATGGAAATAATTGAACCAAAATCAACATCAGGAGACAGAGGAATTTGTTTCTGATCCCCGTGCTGTTGTTCCAGATGTGGAGGAAGTGTCAGACCAGGCTCCAGGTGTTTCTCAACATACTGGACTTGTGTTCTGTGGTGGGCTCTTCTGGTTGCCAGCCACTGCCTTTATGGTGGTTTCTTCCAAGAGCTCTAATGAGAGATTTAAAAGCATGATACTACTTCTGCACTCAGCACTGCTGTCTGCGGAGTAACACTAGTTTGAACCCCTAGGGGGAGACAAACCCCACCTCAACTGCTGGCAGAGTTAATAAATAAGATGTGAACACAATGTAAATAATAATCTTCACTGTATAAACAGTATAAGCTTGCTTGCCTTACTCATTCTCTGGGCTCAAAAACATTCAATGTTTTAATAATTTGTGTGCTTTTTTTAATTCTTACTCTTGACCAATCTTATGTTTTGAGACCTGAAGAAGCTGGAACTCCAGTGTGGACTTCTGGTGTTAGACGTCTTCATTTTTGTATTTAATTTTTGTATATTTAACATGTTTTTTTGTATTTTCTTGTTGTTTTTAACTTCTCTTCCTCACAAAGTAGGAAATAACAGACTGAGTATAAACTGTTGTTTGCACATATCGTGCTAAGTACTCTACTCAGACCGGTTCTTAAGTATTTAGGACCAACAGTCTGTTTACAACATACAAAAGACATGATTTCTTATCAGGATTCAACCCTTTGTTTTGATCTTGTGTCCATGCCATTTGCAGAAATGTGTTAATTTATTTCCTCTGTTTGAAATCAATCCTGTATACAGGGATTTTCATTTGTATATGGTTTGTGCCAATTCTTAAAGCTCCATGTGAAAAATAATGACAATGTGTGCTGAGACAATGGTATCTGACAAGGTCATGTATCAGTAATGAAACTACTAATAAAGGAAATCAAATCAGAGGGTCACTATCTTTTGTGCTGTTGAAAACAATCCCTGTGTAGCTGGAGGAAGGAGCAACCTCCATATATCTTGGTTTATTAAAAAAACTAAATTAAAACAATCAAATAAATACGACTTTTGTAATGTAACGCAGTGCTCTGATTTTGCACTGTTGTGTCTGAAGTGAAAGCAGCTGGAGAATGACTTGGTTCTGAAAAAAGGCATAGTCATAGTTCAGGCATCTTTACGTCAAAAAACACAGTAACTCAAAAATATAGAAAATCATAGTGTAGTATTTTTAAAAACTATAAAATACCATAAAAAGGTATAGTATAGCATGTTTAACAAAATTCAAACGAGTTTGTCGTAAAAAACTGTTTAGTGTGTCCAAAAATATCAGAAAACAAGTCATAGCATATTGTGTTTAAAAAAAAAGTCAAAATATAGTCTTTTCAAAAATATTTAAAACTATGGTATTGTATTTTGAAATGTATCCAAAAGAAATATCTGAGTAGTATCTGGAAAAAAATGTAAATTTGTTGAAAGAAATCTTGAAAATCAAGCCGGTTTGACGAAAAAAGTCAAAGCATATAATGTGGAAAAATATCATAAAAGAATTCAAAGTTTATTTTGGCGAAAAAAATGAAATTAATGTATGTAGTACAATGTCATAGAATATCATAGTATAGTATGTTGTGAATATAATACAAAATCATACTATACGATGATCCCATGATCATACATTACATTTTTCAACATACTATACTATTATGGTATGTTGAAAAATGTAAAGTCAAAGTATAGTATGTTGAAAGATATCATAGAAAATGTTACTGTCGTGTTTCATAAGATATCTGAGAAAAGGTCATAGCATGACTTTCCATTTAGCTGACGCTTTTATCCAAAGCGACTTAGAATAATAGCAAATTGTATAATATTTAAACAAAAACATCATAGTATATATGTAAGTAGGAGAAGGTGAAGTGTCTTGCCCAGGGACACAACGACATGCTGACTGTAGTGGGGTTTGAACCTGTGCTCCCCTGATCTGAACACCAACGCAATATTCCACTACGCCACACACCTCCCTTTAAAACATGTTTTATAGTATAACATGTGAAAAAAAGTAATTGTAGAGTAGGTCAAAAATATCTTAAAAAGTCTAAAAGTATATCATGTTGAGAAAATTCATCGTAAAGTATTTGAAAATAGAGCATAGTAAAAAAAGACATAGTATATTATGTACAAAAAAAGTAAAAGTTGAGTGTTTATACAAAAACTCATAGAACAGCATGAGATAAAACAATTAAAGTATAGTTTGTCAGAAAACAATATCAGAGTATAATATGTAAACAAATATCACACAAAAAACCAAAACAACTTTATACCAAAAATGAAAACACCTCCAAACTTCTCAGAAATCCCACACCTGTGCAGGCGTATCAGAGGCAGAGATATTTTCTTGTGACAAAGATGCACAACGACTGAATGGTTGTTCCCTTTCCCCTTCTTCTATATTGTTAGGTAACATAAAGGAACAAGTATAGTTCAAACTACTTTGTCCTGTCAAATTCTGCATCCTTTTATTTAACTCATTTTAGTAGGAGATCCAGTTGCTGATTTTGGGGTATAGTCAAATGTGGATGATGTCCTTCCTGCCTTTACTCCATCCACCCTCTGTCTCTTTGTCCATTTCTTTGTCCTCGCCTACTTACGTGTCTCGTTCATGTCCACACACCTGTTGGACAGACGGGGACATTTAGTTGCTAATGAGGAAACAAAGCCAACACAGTTTCAATGTGAGTTTTTATTATTTATTTTATTTAAGAGCTCAGGACAGATGCAGACAACAAACCTCCAGACAAACACTTGAGTTCAAAAATAATTAGAGCACTAATTACAATTGGAACCCAACGTTATTATATTATTATTAAAAAAATGAATGCCATTTAGTGTTTAAAAAAAAAACCAATACCTTTGTTTAACTACAAAAGGTTAAGGTAAATGTTTTGTTAAATTCAAATACATATTTCTTTACATATTTCAAAATATAGTAATGACAATAAAAATACATTTTGTATCACATAATAAATTGTGATCAAAATGAAGTTTTAATCAATTGAACATAATCTCACTCCTCCACCTCAGGGCCCGGCGGGACCTGATAAATCTGAAAGAAGCCACTGTCACCCAGATCTAACCTAAGATCTCTGACAAAGAGTTTAACGACTGCATTGTTGAAATATGATGTTATTTTTTGAATAATGAGAGACATTGAACTATCGTTAACCATTTGATCCCAATTATTTGTCAAAATGTCAATGATTTCATCATGGACCTCTGGGGGAAATGTGAGTGACTTGATGTATTCCCCTCCATTCTCCAAATGCTGACTTTTTTTCCGCCTTTTTTCCGCCTTATCCTGAAGTTTACTGAGAATAGATTCAATAGTTTTCTTGAGTTTTTCTTTTCTTTTAACCTTTCCGATAAGACGGAATATAGCCTTATTATCTTGTCTGAATTTGTTGTCCAGTGTAAAGCGATGTTCCTTGCACAAGTCAACATATAGATGAAAAGCACTGCTGGTACATGAGACCTCAGAATACAGGAGATCTTTAAAGATATCTGGTCCATTTAGTCCCCAAGGCTTTTTGAAGAACACTATAGTGTTAATGCCAAATTCACTGTGCCATTGACGGGCTTTCTCTACAAGATGTAACATACAGGGATTTTTATCTTTCTTATCTTTATCTTTCTTATCTTTATCTTTCTTATCTATCTTATGTTCTCTCATCAAACATGGACTATTAAGGGTGAACATATAAATGTTTTTAACTTCAATTCCACATAACTGCAAAGTTTCATCTATATTTGTGCATAAGACTCTCTCTGTGTGTGTTGTGACATCGCTTCGTTGTATCACATTGAACATCCGAATTTCACCACTTTTCATTTCTATAGCACCAAATGCATATTGATTATCCTTATCCATAAGAGGGAGTTTTAAGAAAGGTGGCATGGCCTTATAAATACTGCATCCTTCTTCTATTTCTGAATTAAGTGTCATTACAAGATTAAAAAGTAAGTTTTTGTCAAAATTTTTTATTAGTTTCTTATAAATGTTCATGGCCCTTGGTATACGATCTTCCTTATGATGGTCTTTAAGATGGTGTTTTGGCAAAGGTCTATTGCACCACGCTGCATAAATACTGAATCCAGGTTCTGTTTTTAAATATTTGTTCATGATTTCTGTTGGAGACAGTTGCTTTTTGTCAGAAACATTTGTTTGTTGCTCAGAATTATCCATGTAACGCTTACTATATTTTCTCTGTCTCCGAATAAAAATGCTGTAATTTGGTATAAGATTTGCATTCGACATATTTTGTTTATTTGCTGTTGTTGATGTCATTGAATTAGAATCAGTGGCACAGGGAGGATGTTCCTGAAGCTGGTCTTCTTCCCTACAAAATAAATATAAAGGTGTTAAGGACAAAATCATATGCTTAAGATTGTTATTTAACTTTTAGCACAACAATGCACCGTGCACTGAATTCATAAAGCATATTGTCAAAAGCTAACAGATTGTCAATGGCTGATTTAACTTTGCGTGTGCTAAAGGGCGATGTGTTGGATTGAAGATCTCTTCTTGTTGTGAATAGAAACAAACTGTATATATATATAATGCTATATACTGGAGTTCAGTACAATTACACAGCCAGGAGAAAAAAACGAAATCATCAGTTGCATAAGTTTACTTTCACATGTTTATATTTTGCATTGAGATCTGCAGAAGGTTTAGACAAAGATAAATAAAAACAAGCTGTTAAATATCAAGTTGTGGTGACGTGTTCAGTCTCTTTCTGTAACTTGAATGCAGAGTGATCAATGTTAGAGAAAAATAAATATTAAAGTTCAGTATGATTGACTCATTCGACCCACGGAAAGCTGTATTTTTACATTTACCTGACTCAGTTTCATGGGACCCAATACCTAGTAACTACTACTTAACTAGTTTCAGTTAATACAGCATTTTATTTCTTAGACCATACCTTTGGGGTGAGGAGGGTTCTGGCTCGGTGGGAGGGGATGAAGACATCTCTTCAGTCTCAGGCACTTGTGGATCTTGTTGTGTGCTTCTGTCCGTCTGAGTGGAAAAAACAGAACTTTATAGGCCAGTTTTTCAAAGTCACACGGAGAATATACAAACAAAACACAATACATGTAGAAAAACAGAAAATGTATTGAAAATGTTCTGACTCACCAGATTTGGGTATGAGACCAGCCCATGCAGGGGCTGGCAGTCGTCGTGTCCAACAGAAACATTTACATCAAACTGGTCGATTGGATTTAGGTCAGTGGGATCAATATCACCTTCTCTCATCGAACATGGACTATAATGGGTGTTTAAATCATTGTTTTTAACTTCAGTTGGACGTCTCTGCAAAGTTTCATCTATATGTTCACATAAGATGCTCTCCGTGTGTGTTGCGACATCGCTTCGTTGAACCTCATCGAACATCTGAATTTCACCACCTTTCATTTCTGCAGCATATTGATTATCCTGATCCTTAAGACGTCTTTTTAAGGAAGGTGGCATGGCCGATGTTTCTTCTATACCTAAGTTACGTTTCATTTCTCGATTAATACTTGACTTTTTGTCAGAAACTTTTATAGCTTCATTATCCATGGTGATTGGTATAAGATTTGCAGTCGACACAATTTGTTTATTTGCTGTTGTTGACGTCATTGAATTAGAATCAGTGGCACCGGGACGATCTTCCTGATGCTGGTCTTTTTCCCTAGAAAATAAATATAAAGGTTTGACTTTATTCAAAGGACAAAATCATATGCTTAAGATTGTTATTTAACTTTTAGCACAACAATGCTCCATGTACTGAATTCATAAAGTGTATTGTCAAAAGCTAACAGATTGTCAGTGGCTGATTTAACTTAGTTAAGTGTGCTACAGGGCGATGTGTTGGATTGAAGATCTCTTCTTGTTGTGAATAGAAACAAACTGTATATATATATATATAATGCTATATACTGGAGTTCAGCACAATTACACAGCCAGGAGAAAAAAAACAAATGATCAGTTGCGTAAGTTTACTTTCACATGTTTATATTTTGCATTGAGATCTGCAGAAGGTTTAGACAAAGATAAATAAAAACAAGCTGTTAAATATCAAGTTGTGGTGACGTGTTGAGTCTCTTTCTGTAACTTGAATGCAGAGTGATCAATGTTAGAGAAAAATAAATATTAAAGTTCAGTATGATTGACTCATTCGACCAACGGAAAGCTGTATTTTTACATTTTCCTGACTCAGTTTCATGGGACCCAATACCTAGTAACTACTACTTAACTAGTTTCAGTTAATACAGCATTTTATTTCTTAGACGATACCTTTGGGGTGAGGAGGGTTCTGGCTCGGGGGGAGTGGATGAAGACATCTCTTGACTCTCAGGCACTTGTCGATCTTGTTGTCTGCTTCTGTCCGTCTGAGTGGAGAAAACAAAATGTTACCATCTTCTGATGTTAAAGTCTTTATTGTCATTAGTGGAAAACACGTCTGTTAGGAACGGCTGAATGCTTTGCCTGTGGTATTGCTGAGTGCACATTTGAGGTAGTGCTTCATTTTCTAAAGCTTCTTTTCCCATCCTGCATTTTAGTTTCAGTTAAACAAAGACCAACCTACAGTATGCAGGCGCAACAGTCTCGCACAACACTGTGCTTTTGTTTGAGCCCTGTATGTCAACATGTAAAGCTGAGCAATACTGTTCAAATTGAAAATGTTCAGTAAAAGTTACAACTTTTTTTGTTTGTTTCTGGAATGAAATCAAATAAAAAGAGATGTGTCTTACTTGTCCAGCATATTAATGCATGGAAAACGGAAATGATCTTCTATTCAAATGTTTCTGTAAAGTTTGATAAGCAGTTACAGAAAAAGCATTTGATGGAAATGAAATGCTTAGTTCTCAAGCTCTTCATCAGTGCTCAAACAAATATGTATAAAAGTAGATAACCTAAGTAAACATTTTAATTTAAGACATAAAATAGTGCACAGGCTTAAGTAAATAAAAAATAAATGTGCTAAACAGATGTACAGTAATTTCAATATATATATATTTTTTTATATACAAATAAAATAGTGTAGAGTACCTGCATGGTGAGAAGGTCTGAACTCCTCTGGAGGAACAAAGAGACAGAACAGTTAGGTGGTAAAAAAATTAAAAGTAAAAGTTTGTATGGCTTTTTACGTTTTATTAGTTTTATGCTTATCATAACAGAACGTTATAGTTTTTAAAAGTTCTAAACCTAACCCTAACATTTTTGTAAACACTCTGTTTACAAACAAAACACAGTAGATGTAGATAACACTGAAAATGTATTGAACATGTTCTGACTCACCGGAGTTGGGTCCAAGACCCGCCAAAGCAGGGGCTGACAGTTGTCGTGACCAACAAAAAGATTCCACAGATACAAGTTGTTGTATTGTAATTTAGTTCAATCAAACTGGTCGATTAGATTTAAGTCAGTGTTTATTTTAATGAAAGTCACAAGATTTGCCAGCCCCTGCTTTGGATAAATTCTAAATGTTCCTTTTACTCCTTTTCTTCTTCTTTCTGCACAGGTTTTTGAAAAACAAACTACCATCTGTTTTCAAAGAAACTGTATGAAGTGGCTGCTTATAAACCCTCCCTTAGCCAATCGGTGAGGCCAATCTTTGGTAGCCATGCCCAGTTTGCTTACGTATGCAGAGGTGTGGGAGCCTGATGTTTCTTATAGGTTTCACTTTTGTTTTTCTTCAAAAGGTGTGTACAATGAAACTTTTCCTGCATCCCAAGGGGCAAAGGCAAAGCAGACAATCGACATACATTTAGTTTATTTATTTATGTAACTGTATTTCTCGTTCAAAGCACTCACTTTGTATGTTAACTTCCTGCCAGTAACTGATACAACTTAAAAAAGAGAATTACAAACAAAAATCCCAATATTTCAGAAAATATAAGGACTGTTTTCAGAGCTGGAAGAAGTACTCAGATTGTGTTTTTAATTAAAAGTAGAAGAATCAGAGTGTAGGAATACTCTGTTACAAATAAAAGTCCTGCAGTCAAAATGTTACTCAAGTAAAAGTACAAAAGTGTTAGCATCAAACGGTCTCAGTTCTGATTTAAGAGTTGATTATATTTCACATTATTATTCCAAATCTGTCAAGTAACTAAAGGTATTATATAAATGTAGTGGAGTAAAAGTACAAGATTTACCTCTGAATTGAACAAAGTAGCTAAAAATGGAAATACTCAAGTAAAGTAGAAGTACTTCACAATTGTACTTAAGTACAGTATTTGAGTAAATGTACTTAGGTACTTTCCACCACTGACTGTTTTCACAACCAAGTCCAAGTCAATTATATTCAAAATGTGTTACCCTTACAACCCTCCATTAGTAATGTTATATTTATGAATGAAAAATTCGAACCGCACCCATTGTTGCACCACAACTATACATCATACTTTTGAGGAAACTAAAGTGAGAGGTGTATTAAACGTAACACTCTGAATTCACTTGGCTGTTTCATGTACTTTTGTAAACTGTTTTAACCAGTTTACAACCTTCTTTCTAGTGCAGTATTTCTGTAACTGTAAAACATATTGATATTTCTATCAATCATTCAAACTTTATTTTATATACAGAAGCACATTTCATGCACAAAAGGTAAGTACGCCATCAAAGAACAAAAATAAAAATGTTAACCAAGTAACATATAACTTTGTGATTGATGAACTTTTAAAAGCAGTAGAAGCCAATTCACACAGGACTGAATAAAACAAGAATACAATAAATAAATAATATAATAATACGATTATAATTAATACAAATTATTATTTATTATTTTTAATATAATTGTTTACTTTACTGAGAAAATCATGAAACAAAAGACAACAATTTGTGATTGTTTGAAGTTACATGAGTGTGAGCTTCAAGCTGAATTTGGATTCTCAGTCAGTTAAACCGTGGCTGTATTCCTTTCTGTGTCAATCCACATTTACAGGAAATCGTGCTCCCTTCTTTCAATCTAAGTTATGTTAGAAATTCTATTGTTCATTCAATGAAAAAAAGTATTGTGGTGTGGTGCATAGTTGTGGTGCAATAGGTGCGGTTAGACCAGAATTGTTTCCAGGTGACGAAGCTTCAAACACTTCACAAAGAACATGTCATTGCCTCAGGGATGGCTGTTTCAGTTGGTGCTTCTGTACTATTCTCTGGGTTTACATTTGTAAATGTTTGCATACTAACAAGCTACTAAGATGACTGTGTGCAAGTGTTTTAGATGATCGTATCAATGTTACCCAAATCTATGTTCTTTTATGTAAATTGTTGAAATGCTATTCTTGGCCAGGTCTACATCGTAAAATAGGTAATCAAGAGAAAACACAAGTGGTTTAACAATAGCTTAATTGCAGATTGCTAATTTCATGTCATATCAGAGTTATACAATTTCTTACGCTTATGCAAGGAATGTTTCAGAACATCACACCCAGTTCACTACCCAAAAGTGTTGGCTCTTGCACCCCTTACAGTATGATACAAAAAAAAAACATGAACACGACTCCATTAAAACTGTAAGCAAAGCTTTTCAGGGGCAGCCATTGTGATGTAAACTTCTGAAGCAATGGAGACAAAACTCAGAGAGACATAGGGAGAGCTTGATGGCAAACTCTGATGGTTTATTATGGAGTTACGGCCGGAGAATTGACAAGACATGTGCTGCAGCCACGAGGTGACACAGCGGTTGCCAAACCAGTTCTGAAGATCTCGTCTGCACTTCGAGGTTTTAACTAGTTCAGTTTAACAATATTCCTCATCAGCAAGACTAAACAAATATGGACCCTGAATCTAACTGTCGCTGTCGTTCATAGAAAATAATGTGCGCCAGGGAACCTACGTTGCTGAACAATAAACGACCTCATTGCAGCTTGTGCTCTGTCATAGACTGGCAACACTTTGCCTCTCCTTAAGAGAGATAGCAGCAATACCCAGGCCCGGTTCCAGAACAAAATGACTTGGGGTGCATCTGAGATTACAGGGGGTGCAGAAAGTAGTAGGCTTACGTGAGCAATAGTGGCAGGCAACAGCAAAGAGCATTGATGTTATGATCCCCAATGAACAGATTATAGCATTTGTTATGTTTTGAAACCAAGCAAGTGAGAACATTTCAAGTGTGTTAAAAGTGTAATCGTGAAATACTTCATCCAGTCCAAAGTGGACTATGGCAAGGAAAAGATAAGATAAGATGGACCTTTATTAAAAAAAGCACACAAGCTTCAAAACTGTACTGATGAGAATATATTGTAAATCAAGGCACATATTATTTGAACCAGCTCATGGTTTGAAATGGCAAACATTGAAAGGCAAAAGTATTATTAAAACCATGTACATCATCACCTTGGTCCCATATACTCTTGGAAGAGAATTTACTGTGCTTGAAAACTGGTATCACATCATCATGTGAGGTTGACTTTGTGACCTGCACTTAAACGTTTATCATACAGAAAATACATTCCTGATCACATGTACAGTCATGTTATCTGAGGTAAAAGCCAACTGCTCTGCAACAGCTGGTTCAGGTAAATAAAGCATCGTCTCTCCACATGTCTTGTCTACTTATGTTTTGTATCTTGTCTGTGTATGTAGTCCATCCTCAAGTCTCCATGGTACAGACGAGGTCATGTGGGGTCAGCTTGTATGACAAGGAATTGCTGCTGTTTTTTGTTTACAAGAATAATTTTCAGGCAGATAGAAACAAACATACAGCTAAAAACAAGGACAACAAAACTGTAGGAAGACAAGTAAACGTAAACATATGACATTCATTTTCCAGCAGGAGAAAAAAGAAGATACTTCTATACATATATGTATAAAGCAACAATGAACAGCAACACCATGTTTAGGCAGGTCAAACTATTTTTGCACAATTGTAAATAACAATAAAAGAGTTGGACAGCGCTTTATTAAAGGTTTCACCCTCAGTATTTTTTTGTGTAGATTTTCTGAGTCTCAGGATAGAGTGTCTGGTATGTTATAAAGATTGCGATGTTGGTAAATGAAAAAGACTCGACTTGCTTTGATGCTTTCTTAAATCACCCTCAGCTTAATGTCATCCAGTCACAGTGGGGCAATATATATTACGGGTAAAATCCAGAAGACTCTCTGGCATTGCTTAGTATTGTGTGGAAACAAAAACAGGTTGTGGTAGTAGGGAGACGAAAAGAACATTATGATTGCAAGTACAAATGGAAATTGTGACTGCATAAAGAGTCATGTAGACAGCTCCTCTTCCAGTTTATTCACAAGAGAAGCACTGTCTTCAGCTGTTTCAGTGAACAAAAGACAAACAATATATGGGCGTCATTCTTTGTATCCTGTGTATTGCAAAAGTTGTTTTCAATCTGCTCTTTCTGAAAACATACTTAACCAGTCTGCTTGCTCTCTGCCCGGGGCACGCCTTGGAGTTGTACAACCTGTTGAGCTGAATGAGGCTCTGCAGTCACATGTGAAACTACGGCATCACACAACTTGCTGAAGGTTAATAGTTCCACGTGAGTATTGTTGCATTTAGCATATTGTATGTATGTTTACAGAGAGTCTGCCTTTTGAGGCTGCCGACACACCACCAGCGTCTTCTTTTTCTTCCCACAAGGACCCACCGTGACACAGGTGTCACATGACATTGAAATGTTCTGGAAATGTCCTTATACAGCTTTAGCCTTGTTTTTATCTCATCAAGTCCCTAAGCGACACACCCTGAACAGACTGGGGGGGTCATGGGCCAGGTCATTTGATTTTGTGTTCCCATAACAACATGTCCAAGATGTCCATGTGCCAGGCTAACACATATGACAGAACTAGCTACATTTCAGAAGCTTGTTTTTTGTTGCTAACGGTAAAATTCAAGCCATTTAAGAATGAACATGTCCTTTATTACATTTAACCTGTTGTGGAAACATGTCTTGGTGAAATTGATATGAAACAAATGAGATGAATATCGCTGTGACACTGATGTCACATCGGGACATTAACCGTAAACCTTCACAGTAAATCTGGGGGTGACATTTATGTCACAATTAGAAATATGATTATGATCTGCTCAGTTAATTTAGCTGATTCAATGATATTTAGTTAGTATATTCTTTATTCTTCATTCAAAGAATGTTTCAAACAAATTAAACCAACCATCAAACCATCCTCATTAATTAAGTTATTAATAAAAGTTACTTTACCATTAACGCCCAATGTGACATATAAGTCACATTTCAGATATTTGACACTAGGGGGGAGGGGGTTACTGAAATGTATTCTATGTGGTCTATTTAGTCAAAATGATGTTCCCCTTAATTTCCCCAAAAGTAGAAATGGGTCCGGGTTTTTGCACATCCCTTTCAAGATTTCAAGATTTTCAAAGGTTTATTGAAATATCAAATACACAAACTACGGTGTAGTTATGCAATGATGACAAACTTGGGTCACAGGTTCCTCAACAAGAGATCTATCAATATCTGTGTACCTCCACCATTAAACTGTCATATTCTGCACATTTCTTATTCTATCTACATACATCTTATAAGAGTATAATAAATATGTATAATATCGGTTAAAATAAGT